AGCAATGAGATATATTACTTGAAATTTTTTTTATAATGTATAAGAACTAGGAATCTCGCAAAGAGAAATTGTGCTGAAATAACGATGGCTACGCAATAATTAATTTAATTACGTTGAATGAGAATTCGCGTGCCAGCGATATAGGGAAATCTGTATTTACATAGTAGTGATCTAAAAGATTTTAATTACTTGAATTATTGTGTTGCACGCAATTGTGCTGCACTTTGTCAGATTTGGGACAACGAAGTTGAAAGCACGATGAAGTTCGAACAAGAAGACAAAACTTACGGAAGACGCACCATACCGAGACATTTGTACGGAATCGCGCTGCAGTAATTAGCTGTATGAAATCCGTTTATCAAATCCTGGGAACCGGCAGATGTGAGCGACTTTGAGTCAAAATGCTTCATTAAAATGTTCCACAGCTCAACATTGCTCATTTTCCCGTAATTAATTTCTTCACTTTATACTTACGAAGATTCTTATTATAATAATCATTCATTAAAAACTCGGTATCTCATCGCAAAGACTTCCCGCTTCAGGCCGCGTTTAAATAAAAAATGAGTAAAAGAATTATATTAGTTAGACTCAATGCTTAAATAATGATTCTGTGATAATGTGCTTTGATAGCCCATAATCTCCTGTCTGACTAAACGTCGTATGATTAGTGTTGCCTGCACGATTTTTACCGCGTTAAACGATCTTATTAATTTTACATTGGAAAAGTAGAACAAACGTTGAAAAATTTTAAATTTGCATTCAATTTAAAATCTGATTAGATTACATTAAACATTTCCTGTCGTTTATTGTGAATCTATTATCTTATGTTTTCCGACATCCTTCATTTTTCCTCAAATTAATTCTATTAGAGCTTCTACTATGATTTTGATGATACGTTTACTCACAATTTAACAATAACGTAACGCGAGAGGTTGTCAGCGGATATGGTTTATTTATACTGGCGATTAGCACAAAATCGTATAACGCGTTTCGCAGAGGGTGGCATGTGATATCGTGCGAAGATACGTCGGTAATTATCGAGCACGAAGGATCACGTTTCGGTCCTTCGATAATCCGATGGCTGCCGACTCGTATTTACTCGACAAATAAACGGGATGTCTCGCTCCTAAGTAGTTTGCTCTTAGCAAGAGATGTGAATTCAGTAACCGTCAGCGACAAAGTATTTTGTGGCTAATCCCGGTAAACAAGACTATGCAGGACAAGATCTTACTATCTCGAAAGCTCAGATACCACGTGAAAATGATACAAGTACAGAAAGTTGCACTTCCATCCCTCTGTATTTTCAAAATAAGACAACAAAGTTAAGATAGATATCTTATTAAAAGTCTAACTCATACAAATTTGATTTGTAACTGACATAATTGAGTCGATAACTTATATTCGACTTTTCTACGTAATTACCCATGTTTCGAAAAAATTAGATTTAAAAAGATTAAAGTTTTGTGATAATTTCGCTTTGACGAATTAAATATCTAATTGTAATGTGTAAATTTGAAAAAATTTATAAAAGTGTATAAAAGATCGTGTTTTGCCGTGAAATATTTATTGGATCTCTAAAATAATTTCTTATTTCAATCTATTCCAAATGACAGATATGGAATTATTAATAAATGTGTACAAGCTATGAAAGATTACTATAAAATTGTTGTATAGCAACAAAAATAAATACAATAATGATAACAATTAATGTGTTTTCTTCCTTCATCTAACATATTAATAAATCATGTCATTGCAAATTATTGCGACTAATGGTATGACTGCAAAATATGTTCTTATCGTTCTCTCATTTATACTCATTACATATTCATATTATAAACATGAATGTTAAAAAATGTTAAAAAAATCTCTGAATATTCCAGTAGTTTATCACTATATTTAAGCTTTGAAGGAAGGCCAAATGCAATCTTTGATTTCTACATAATATTGCTATGTAATATTTAGAAAGAAGAAAAAGAGAAAAATAGAAGATACATCTAAATATTAATATCTTTTCTACTTTTTTTTCTATTCTCGTATCAATTTATATTTTTTTTTATAAATGCATACAACAAAACCATTTTTTTATCTTTATCCATAAGATATAATAAGACATCATGAAGGAAATGTTACATAATAATATAAATTTTATATTCAGAAAAAATCAGAATTTTATTTGATTTGTAGTTGTCTATTATTTAATTTTACTTACAAACCATTCAGCATGATTATGAGTAAAAAAACTTTAGTGAACGTAGGTCGAAAGCTCAACCGTTTCTGAGATATGAACAATTTTGTATATTAGAGTCTCATAATTAAACAATTTTGTATGTACGTTCACTAAAGCTTTTTTACTCAGTACGGTGTGTACTATTTATCATATAAATGCTGAATGGTTTTTTTAACATCCTGTATATGTAACCTTATTATGCTTTTTTCTTCTTTACTTTATTTCCTATTATCTTTATATATAAACAAACTTGACAAATTAATTATAATGTATATACACATACAATTACACAAATAATATCATTAATCTATTATATTTTCATGTTGATATTATTGTTTCATGATGTTCTTACCTAGATTTCTTGTAAATCTTGCCTAAAATGACAGAAAATATAACGTATTTATAAAACTTATAACTCTTTTGGAAAAATTTTTCTACTTCTTGTTAATGTTTCTATATTATTACATTTTATTGAGCCAATTGTAAAATATTTTTCTCTCTCCTGTTATATTCTTTTTTGTTTCTAATTTCTACCTTATCTTGTGAATTCTAATTATCTCTTTAATTATCTTAAATCAATTACCTTTCAAATTTTTAACACCTTTTAAATAATGATTTACAAGGATTTTCTTTTCTAAAAAAATTTTCGCACGATGGTTGAAAATACATATTTGCGTCTATTCTATGAATGTTATGACAGAGAACTGTCAAACTGCTATCACATGTTCGGTGTCTTATAAGGACTTTTCATTATAAATAGCAAATCTGCTTAACCGTATTCATTTAAATTAAAAAGGTCCTATTTGAAACACGGTCCAAAAATTATTTAGACCACTCTCCCCATATATATATATATATATATATATATACATATTCGCATTGATTTATTTAACAAAGTAATTTTGTTTTACCAATATTTTATTAAATATCAGTTTTAATATAAATATTCATATTCACATATTTAAATAAATGGTTAATAACTTGATATATTAATGTTTTATTGAACAGAAACTTTAATATGCAAATATATTCGAATTTACATATTTATGTAGATATAATAAAACGATTTTAATTTATTTATATTTGATTAAATATACAGATTTAACATATTCATATAAATATATTTAAGTAGATATTTGTTAAAACAATTATGTAATTTCACGATCAAGTTTTAAATAAAATTTTTTACAAAATTTAAAAACTACAAAATTATGAATAATATTAATAATAATGTTCGGAAATATCTATCTATCCATAATCCGCTTGAATCAGTAATTATGGATTAGTTATCTACTTTCTGTATCTCATCCAATGTGCATAGAAATGAAATCTCACTCAATGTGCATAGAAAAAAAAGTTTTGTAGTTAGAACTATTACAAAAAAAATTAATTGCTTGTGTTGTAAACAATTGCTCATTTCAAACGAGACAAAGAAAATTAGATATATATCATACTGACAAACTTCTACAGCAAAAAAATCGAGGTGGTTTATGTCAACCATCACATAATGTTATTGTAGTGTGTAAGGCAGCAGAAAAAACATTAAGATCTAATCAACATATATTATTTAAAACTAAAAATATATTACATGTTTTAATACGTCAATCTCTGAACGCTGCCTTCCTTCATACATATTTCATACTGATAATCATATTTTTAAAGAAAATTAGATATATATCATACTGACAAACTTCTACAGCAAAAAAATCGAGGTGGTTTATGTCAACCATCACATAATGTTATTGTAGTGTGTAAGGCAGCAGAAAAAACATTAAGATCTAATCAACATATATTATTTAAAACTAAAAATATATTACATGTTTTAATACGTCAATCTCTGAACGCTGCCTTCCTTCATACATATTTCATACTGATAATCATATTTTTCGTCGGGAATTTGATCACCGAAGTCAATTAATAAGATTAATTTTGGAAACCTTTTTCAACGTACGTCTTAAACATGAAACTACAATATATGTAAATTTCACTCCAAGAGTGAGAATGAGGAGAGGTGGTTTATGTCAACCATCACATAATGTTATTGTAGTGTGTAAGGCAGCAGAAAAAACATTAAGATCTAATCAACATATATTATTTAAAACTAAAAATATATTACATGTTTTAGTACGTCAATCTGAAGCTGCCTTCCTTCATACATATTTCATACTGATAATCATATTTTTCGTCAGGAATTTGATCACCCCGAAGTCAATTAATAAGATTAATTTTGAAAACCTTTTTCAACGTACGTTTTAAACATGAAACTACAACATAAGTAAATTTCACTCCAAGAGTGAGAATGAGGAACAACAAATTAACACTTTTTCAAAATCAGTAAAACTGACATCGCATACATGTTAAAAGATCTTAAAGTTTTTTTGACTATTATTTACTAGACTCAGCATTTACTACACTCAGTAAGTAGTATATTAATAATTTTGTAAAATGTATCAAATAAACATATTTATTTCGATAAACATTAACTGGATTGATAATGTAATTGATAATGTAATCGACCTATTCTCCAGTTGTTCTCTATGCTTTCGATGTCTTTGATAATTTTTTGATAGAGATTTGTAGAAATTGTGATTGGAATGGGCCTCACCCGGTTTTGGTTTAAAGAGATACTGTATCCTAAAAGCAAAGTTCACAAATTAAATAAAATTTGAAGAAATATTTTACATACATTCTATATAAAAAAATATTAGACACCGATCTAAGAATTTCGCCATGTATAGGCAGATAGTATCCTGCAACGCATTGATAGTATTCTGATAGTATCCTACAGCAAACTGAAATATATTTATATATAATAAAGTGTATAAAATAAAACCATACTTCTACATTCATAATCTTACCTGTAAAGTTACCGGAATAAATAACATGCCTCTTCTTTGCATAGGCAGCAGTTAACCATTCTACGCAAAATATTAAGTTATAATTTTAGTCACATCTGTGTATATAATAATTAGAGATAATTAACATTTCGATTTAAAAAAACTTATATTTAACAAAGAATATGTATCTTTTTAAGTCTAAGATCTAACCGGGCCACGGCATGCGTCGTACTTCGTCTTCTTCTAAATTGTAAATGATCTCGCCGGCGAGAATCACAACGATTCCGGTATTGTTATTTTCTCCCATCACCTCTTTTGATTCCCTCTCTCTAGTAGACGCATGCGCGAAACGAGAGAGAACGCAGAAACCAAAATCAGTATGTCCTTTTCTACGCAGGGTCTGCCCCCACTCCTCGAATGTTCAGTCTAGAGATACTATGCCTACGTTTACACCATGCATTTAGGCCGCGTCCTATACAGTAGACGTCCTTGTTTATCCTGTAGGTTAAACAAAGACATCTATCGTATAGGTCGCGGACTAAGCGCACGGTGTAAACGTAGCTTATGTCTATGCCGTTACCTGAGCTCGTGACGCGTACTTCCCCGTTATTTGATGATCTGAAGATAGCTCATGAACGCTTGAATCGATGGGAAGTTGAAAGCCCGCGATGTATTGAAATTTCTTGCAATTAGATCGGGATATGTATTACAGAATTATTCAGAATAGATTTTATCGGAATTATTCAATTATTTCTTAGATTTAAGGTAAACACACATAGAAGTAGAAGTAAGCAGTAAGCAATAAGACGTAAGATCGCTATCTTTCATATGTATAAATATACTGGCAATGTTAATTGCCTACTTCGTACGTCTTACTGCTTACTGCTTGCTGCTTACTTCTACTTCTATGTGCATTCACTTTTATATTGTGTTTTCTAAGGAAAATACAATCGATCGGAGGTTTCGGCTAGTTTTTAGCCATCACCAACGATACCAAAAAAGAAATCGTTTAAATACTTATGCTCAACAATAAGAATCATATTGAATTATTTAAGCATTAAAAGATCTCGCTTCGACCAGTATAGGCATTTTAATTTCTAGTATTGATTGTGTTTCATTCATGCTCAAATCAGAATAAATTCTTCGAATGTATTAACGTTAACATCTATTGCCTTTTTTTTTAATAGGGATTGATCATATTTCAAATCAATGCCCGAAATTATAAATCCAATAAACGAAAATGAATTGAAATGGATTCAGATTTTCAGAAATACACGAACGTTAAGATAAATCCTTTTCAATTTTTTTCCTAATGCATTTTTATTCGTCTATAGGAATTGCATAAAGCACTATTTCTATGCCTTTCAATCTAAAAATAATATCAGTTTTTTCTGTGCATCGTGAATATCGCTCAATTCAAAATTCTGAATAGGAAATGTTTCTCAATCCAATTGAATCCAGTTGAATAAAAAAAATTTTGTTTATTCAATGGATTCAATGAACTTTTAAGATACGTATAAAAATTTCGATCCATTCTCGATTACTGGGAATCATTGTCTTAAGACGGTTCCAGACGATAGGAAATAAATAAGTACGTACGCACGATTGAGTTTATGTATATCAATTTTATTTAAACAATATCTGTTTTATTTGATATAATACAATATGTACCATTCGTCTGCTCACGCTCGCACGACGTTCGTAATAATTCTCTACGCATTCTAACTTCTAGCACAAAAATACGGGCATAATTTGAAGTCACCTATTCACGATTTCACACACGTATACGTACACGCGCATTCTCTCCTTCTCTCACTCTCTCTCATCTTCACTTTCGATTCTTTTCTTCGAAATAATTCTTTTCTTCTTTAAGATAAGTTCTCTAGAAGAAAAACTTGCTAATCCTTTTAACACTCCAAGTTATTCATAATTCTCCTGTCTAACATGACTTTTCTCAACACGTGACTTTGTCACGCGATCAATTTGCAAACGTCATTACCATTTGCAAACAACTCGATGATGCAATAAATTAAATTTAATCTTTGATTAAGGAGTTCGATCTCCTTAATTATATGTGATACACATTGTGGTATGTAAAAAATATGACATACAAAAATAAGTTACTATTACGAATACATAAAATTATTAAAAATTTCACAAATCCTGCACAAATCCCGTAATCCCAGAGTAGGAAATTCCTTTTACATTCCTCATTTGTGAATCGCAAATTATGAAAAGTTATTTTTGCAATTATATAGCAAAAGTGTAGAAAAAAAACTGAAAGACACAGTCAGTTTCTGATTGCGCAATTCAAGAGCAGATAATTTCTTTTGCCTAGACTGTGCACTCGAGGACTTTGTCGCAAAAAAGCGTGTCTCTCTCGGAGAGCAAAAATCTTTTACTTTCCACTCCTTTACTGTTTGCTAAGGACAATAGTCAATCAAAAATAAGTAAAATCATTGAATCAATTCTCTTCGATATAATCTTGTCTTGTGACAAAAAAATTTTCCTATCAAAGATCGTTCTTGGAGAACAAAATTTGGAAATTGATATTGAGTAATTCGTTTCTTCGTGTATCCATTTTTTCTTTTAAAGAAATCTTTACTATCACAGGAGTTGTTTGTAGAGAGTAAAAGATTTCTAATCTGCTATCATGTTCGAAATACATGCGAATTCACAAGTCGCATTTCGCAAAGAAAAGCTCGCCGATATTGCAACCATCCATTCGCACGCAGTCACGCTCATCTTTTGTAGACTAGATAAAGCTGAATATGTGATTGGATGATAAGGTATGTGCGGAACTGTATTCAAGCTCTTGTGTTGTTCGATGCATATACGCGACAATCTAAAAATATATCCGCGATGTTTCTCGCTCTCGCAATCGTTTTCTCTCGATTTAACTTCCAATACAGAAATTTGATACACGTACTGGATTCGCAAATATCGACAGCATGATGCACACACGTGTTATGTAGTTTTTTTTTCTATAAACGCATAGAAATAATTCAACTAATTCAAAATCAATAGGGACGTATAGTTTTTGCTGTGATACGTATTTTTAAGAAGTTTCGTCTGATAATATAATCAGGTATGACAAATTTTACTTCATATAAATTGAATAAGAGCAAATTATAAATATTATTTATATTTTTATATAAAACATAACGTAATATAAATACCTCATACGTATACGTTACATGAAAATATCGATACGAAATCTCCGATTTCGTCAGCGATATAGAATCGTTCGATTTAATGTTTTAAAATTCCTTGAATTCGTAACAATTAACAAAGAGACATCAGCTGTTGACTGGTATTTTTATAATTACGTTTGACGGATCACTTAAACGTCGTACGCTAATTATTCGTATGAAACGAATCCGAATTTCTACGTTTGCGATACGTTTTGTTTAATTGAGAAATTTTGATAGCTCTCTATTCCTTGGCACATTATGTTCCGATTTAAAAAAAAATGAAAAAGTGAAAGTTAAAGTTTCTTTTTAAGGAAGATTTTTCATGCAAAAAGAGAGGTACAACCCACACGTATAAAATCTAAAAATAGTCCAAACGTTTAGCACACACGGCACGCTAAGCTTAGCCAGCAAAGTCTAGTTCTCGAGACTAAAAATACCTTACGTTGAAAAAAAGTAAGCTGAATAAGCAAAATGTGGTGAGACGAGTGGAAGCTATGCCCCCCTTCCCCTAAAAATAATTCAATTAAAATTGTTAAAATATAAAATGACTCAACTAAAAAAAATTGAAAATTATCTCCAACTTTCTACGCGCCTTTTGAAAATAAATGAATTAATGTTTTTGAGAGATACAATATATTATATTTCAAAAACCTTTTTTCGTTGCCTTTTCTCCCATCGTTTGAAATAAAGTAATGTTCCTCTATATATGACATTATGTACAAGTAATGAGCTTACATGTAAAATGAAAATGATCATTATTAAGCTCGAGCGGCTTATTAAGCCCGACACGAAAGACTGTCAAGTGTTCACACAGGAGTTACAAAAGCTTGGAACTTTAATCCTTCTTAGTGAGAAACGCCGTACTGGTCTTGGGAGATGGAAGAAAAACGTAACAGGTAAAATTTCTATGAGGATGATTCGAAATCGCTTTGACACTTGGTACATCTCGCTCTTTCTAACGACGGTGTCGACGTAAAGTAGCAAGACGACGATAATATCGCATATGCAAATTAATAGTCTCAGACTTTACATTGTATAATACATAACGCGTTATATAAACGCGTTCGTCTTCGTGTTCCGCGATTCGTTTCTCAAAGTCCTTGTGAGACTTGCGTCGAGAAATTTAAATCGTTCCATCGACTTGCAGATTTTTACTTTACGCTGGAATAAAAATAAATATCTTCGATTGTGTTCTAGAAAAATCGTCGCAAGCTATGTATAATGTGTATACTTATTCAGTTAGATTAAGTATTCTTATTACACGCCGGTTTGTTCCAGCAAACAAGCTGACGTTGTCATTTTCAAAATGACGTTTTTAATATCATCTTGACGTCAAAATGACGACATATGTTGTTTTCAAAATAATGTCTTTAACATCATTTTGATGTCAAAATAATAATAATAAATAATGTCAGCTTGTTTGCTGGGACGTATCTCCAGTTTGGTGTATATGTATACGAGAACAGTCTCTCTCTCTTATTCTGTAAATTCGAACTTTCGTCGCGTTCCGATGCAATATCGACCATTGGGCGTACTCGTGATAAGCATCACCACTTCTTGTTCGAGTTTCACATACCGGCGCTTAAGAATCCTTAACAGCTAAAATCGGTGACTCGAATATCCATAGAAATGGATATATTTTACATCGTTATACGCCCTCCAGTAAGACCTAAGCGTTACGATTAAAAAATCTGAGGAAATCTCGCCTTTCGGAAAGCTCGCAAATGTTTTTGAGTCCTTCGGGGAAAGGAGAGATCTCTCCGGTTATTTCTTCGAGTTGAAAGAAGAAAATTGAAGAGACTCCATGGACCGCGACGGGATCACTCGAGGTGTTCATTCGCTCCTAACGTCTTAACGGGAATTAATTAGTACGCAATTGAACCGATCGGACAATCTGGTGCTAATTGACCGGTCCATGTAATTACAAATTTTCTTCTAATAGCTTTTTATCGATTTAATTCTAATATTTCTAATATACAGTTAACTATTTCATTCTTTTTTGCTTTTGAATGACTTATTTGATGAAATGTGTTAAAATTTACATAATACGCCTTCATTTATCTAACTAAAAAAATCA